ACAGCACCCGAACTCACAAGAGCTCGGCCTTAAGCCGTCACACCCTTTGAACAACACCCGAACTCACAAGAGCTCGGCCTTAAGCCGTCACACCATTTGAACAACACCCGAACTCACAAGAGCTCGGCCTTAAGCTATCACATTATTTGAACAGCACCCGAGCTCGCAGGAGCTCGACCTGAAGCCGCCACACCATTTGGACAGCACCTGAACTCACAAGAGCTCGGCCTTAAGCTGTCACACCCTTTGAACAGCACCCGAACTCACAAAAGCTCGGCCTTAAGCCGTCACACCATTTGAACAACACCCGAACTCACAAGAGCTCGGCCTTAAGCTGTCACATTTGTTGTTCTTCATTATGAGCCAGTCACACTTAGTTCATTCATCAGACCAAGATATAAATGTTTCAAAGACAACTCCAAGTTATCCTTAAGGCAACAACCAAATTTAATAACCAAAGCATAAATGTTTCGATAACAATTCAGAGTTACTATCGAACTGGCAATATAATACTTCTTGAGAGTTACAAGGCTTGAGAAAGACCTTACCCTCTGGACCTCTTAGCTCATAAACCCTTCCAGCCAACGCTTTCTAAAAGACTTCTCTCCAAATGGTTCAACACATCCACTCCCTTACCTCATCCAGTAAGATCATCTCCGTTCTGGCCTCTTTGATCAAGCCCTCCTGTATAATTGTGCTCTCTTCTCTGCCTTTCCTCTTATTACCCGCCTCCAACACCGTTTGGTAACAGGTCCTTGCCAACCGTTGTCCCCCGTGACCTCACCTACCAACTCTCCCACCGGGAATCTCATCTTCATGCAATATGTTGATACTGCTGCCTGAAATGAATTCAAGCTAGGCCACCCCATGATAACATTATAAGCTGAATCCGCCTTAACCACCACGAACTGCACCATCTTCACCTTCCTGAGAGGAGGAGCTCCCAGCGCCATCGTCAATTGCACCTCTCCAGGTGGCACTACCTCTGCTTCACTGAAGCCAAACAATGATGTCTTCATTGGGGTGATATCCACACCTAAATCCATCCGCCAAAAACACTCATAGAACATTATGTTAGCAGAACTACCCGTATCTACCAGAATCCTCTCAACATCATAGCCCGCAATCTCCGCTGTCACTACCAGAGCATCGATATGGGGAACCAATATGCCCTGAGAATCTGTTGCACCAAACTTCAACTCTGGCATGGCATGATCAATCTGGACCTCCGCTACACTCTCTTAATCTGCTCTTAAGTTAGCTCGCCTAGCCCCATTGGAATCCCCATCTGTCGGCCCCCCAGCTATCATATGGATCACTCCCCTCTTGGGAGGTCTCTCCTTTTGCTCCTCTTGCCTCCTTTTCTTTTCTCCTCCCTCAGCATCATTTCTCTCCTCCTTGTCTTGCGCTACGAACTCCTTCAAGTGTCCGGCCCTTATCAGTCTCTCGATCTCATCCTTAAGCTCATTGCAGTTGTTCGTCTAGTGCCCATAATCACGATGATGCCTATAACAAGGATCAACTTCCCCAGGCACCTTTCCTGCCTTCTTAAGTAAGGGTTGAGGTTTTCCAAACATCTTAGTTTCTCCACGCCTCTCCAACATCTCAAACACCTGCCCCATTGGTGATGTCAACGGAATATAGTGCTTATACCTGAAGCCCATACGCCCCCTATCATCACTCATATAATCTTTGCCTCCTGACCTTCTGTCATCTGACCTGTGTTTTTCATCCTGCTTCTTTCCCGATTGTGCGCCTGAAAATCTACCCCTGTTTTTTCCATATTCATATACTTGGTGCATCTTTCCAGCAATTCATCGTAGGATCGGGCAGGCTTTTTAGCCAGCGAATTTCTGCAATGGCCTGCCTTCAACCCCCGTGTCAGCCCCCCAGCCTTGATTTCTTCGGTTGTCGTGGGCACCTCTACACACGCGCGGGTAAACCTGGCCACATACTACCTCAGGGACTCATTTTCACGCTGTTGCATGTTCATAAGGGACATATACGTCTTTTCATGTTTCCTTGCGCTAGAGAACTGATTAATAAATAGCGAACTAAATGCGTCAAAGCTGTGGACAGATCTTGCAGGTAACTGATGGAACCAGTCTTGCGCCGGACCCTTCAAGGTTGTCAAAAAGGCTCTACAACAGACACCATCGCTATATCGGTGCAAGACCGCGACATTCTCAAAACTCCGCAAATGCCTTGTCGGATCTGAGGACCCATCGTAATATATACTCGGCTCTCTAAAACTGTGAGGCAAATCAGCGCCTAAAACGTCATCGATGAAGGGATGCCCCTGCATCCTGAGATGCCGCCTTCCTTCCACCCTTGCTTGAAGCTCTTTAATCTGATTGGCCATCTGCTCCATCAGCGCATCCCTGGACGGC